GCCTCAGGATGGACGGAGAAGTGGTGCCTTGATGCGCACCCGGGATCCGAACCCGGGCCACCAGCATTGCAGCGCGCGCACTTAACCACCAAGCCACAGGGCCGGCCCATCTCAGACTAGTTTTCAAAGATTAGGTTTACTCAGCCAAGAACATTTTTGCCATATACTGCCAGAAATATTCTATAAAATAGTGCAATTCTGTAACAAATGTCCCTATTTTTTAACTCCTCACATTCATTGTACTATATCCATATTTTTTGCTAATTTAAATTAATAAAAATAGCAACTCATAGCTGTTTTGGGGTTTTAAATTATCACCATTAAAAAAATTTAACATTTCTTTACTATTTGATTCTTCCTCCAAATAAGGTCTATTCCTGGTATTTGTCTATTTGTCCAGCTGGATGTAGTGAGGTTAGAAGAGGTGTACAACTTTCTCTCAGCTTTATACTTAAACCGTTTAATGTGTATTACAAATATTTCACCTATTCTGTTGCTTCCTTTTTATCTGTTGTTCTGGTTGTTCATTATATTGAACTATTATATTCTTATTTAATTGTTTCTGTCTATCTTTATCTTCACAGTTCTATCTACTGCTTATTTAAAAGAGAAAATAATCTCCTTTCTACAGTTAAGAAGTATTCACTTCAGTTTTTTCTTATCAAGAATTTATTGGGATAGATGGTGTGAAATGTGAATCTCGTTTTACATATTTTCTTCAGGGTTCATGGATTATCTAATTCATGGTTTCAAAGACACAGGTTTGGGATAGCTTTTGAACCAAGTCTAGGTCTTTGTTCTCCCCCTAAAGAGGTACCTATTTCTCACTATTACCACATTTAGGCACTGTGCAATTCAGTGTTCACGTACTGATACAATCATTTCTCACCTATTTTTCCTTTATATCAGGAAGCTATAGAGTATTTTGACTCCCTCTTTTGGCCATGTTCCTAACATAGCTTTAAAAACAAAAAAAAAAGGAATTTTCCTTTAGAATCACAGCAGAATTTTCATTATGTCATCAAGAATTAATATGTAGACAAATTCCTATAGAGAGTTATCCCGGAAAAATATATTCCTGAAATCAGAAGTGAGTGCATAGAATTCTTTGGGTAAAATGAAGTATTCAGATAAAGAAAAGAATGCTGAGTTCCATTTTACAAGATCTTCTGTTTCCTAACTAATTCTTCTTTAGAGTGTGTAAGTGATGTTAAGTGACTCCATCTTTAATCATTCCATCACAAATACCAGTCTATTACCCAAAACAGCTACTTCCGTACCCCTGAGCCTAACACCTTCAGGCAGGCCTTGGATAGACCCAAAAGTCAAACACTCTTCATTCTGTTTTACTTGTGGGATTACTATAGGTGTACAGTACACAGATCAATAAGTAAGTGAATTACAAGGAAAGGACCAATTTTGTAAGAATCTTACTTTAGGGGAAAAAAAGTAGGAAAAGCACTAAATAATGACTATTCCTAGCAAAGGCATCACTGACCCAGCACTGTACCTTAAGCTCCTGCTTGGGTTCCACATTCTTTATTGTTGTGTAATACACATGGTGGCCGTACTGGTAAGCCACCAGGTTCTGCTCCAGGTGATTCTGGGCTGGACGCACAAACATCATCCAGTTACAAAGGGTCTCATCAGACAACTCAAACCAGAGGTCCTCATGCAGGTCTCTGTCTTTCCTGTCCCCTTTATCAAGAGAAACCTGGAACCAAAGAGAAAGTAAAAAGCCACACCAAAAACAAATAAACAAACAAAACCTTCAATATAATATGCATTAATTTCATAATATACAAAACACTGCTCCTTAAATTAACCACGTACATATGCTGATTCTTCTCTTTGTATCTTAGAACGACACTGGAATCGTGTCTTGCCAAATGTAAACAGGAAAGGATACTTTCTGAAGACTCACCTGTCAGAGAATTGCCTGGCAAAACCTAAAAGTTAGCAACCTAACTGTATAGCTTCAGTTGATGTTTCATCATTAACTAACACATCAAAAAATGTTACAGGGCCGGTCCCGTGGCTTAGCGGTTAAGTTCGCGCACTCCACTATTGGCGGCCCGGGTTCGGATCCCGGGCGCGCACCGACACACCGCTTCTCCGGCCATGCTGAGGCCGCGTCCCACATACAGCAACTAGAAGGATGTGCAACTATGACATACGACTATCTACTGGGGCTTTGGGGAAAAAAAAGGAGGAGGATTAGCAGTAGATGTTAGCTCAGAGCAGGTTTTCCTCAGCAAAAAGAGGAGGATTAGCACAGACGTTAGCTCAGGGCTGATCTCCCTCACAAAAAAAAAAAAGAGAGAGAGAGAGAAATTTAAAAAAAAAAAAAAATGTTACAATAAAGCCAGAGAAAGGCAAGCAAAATACTCTCTAGTTCATTACAACTTGTTTCCTTTTGGGATTCAACTACATTCATTTATAATGTGTAGCCTGGTGATAGGTATTTCTCTTTACAAAATAATATTCTTTCTTAGAGATCTTGAGCATCACCAAACAAAATCTCCCCATGACAGCCTCCCCTGATTTCTCAAAAAGTACATCCCAAATATTCTCCCTTCCAAACCGCCCTTTCCTGGTCCTCCAGAGTGGCTCTCCAAGAAGCAGACAGCACAGGGGTTGGATAGAAGCAAAACTATCAAATGCAAGGGGCAGAGATCAGTATAAATATACTTTAACATATAGTGAACTATTCTTTAACAAAAGATTCGGCAGGACAGACCTGTTTCAAAAACCGAAAAGTGGTTTTCCTGAAAACATTATTGGCTCTTAGCAGATTACATGAGTCTACATAATTCTCTTTGTATTCCAGTCAAAATTAGTTTAAAAAAAAAAAAAAGCTGTCAAAGCCCCTATTATGATTTGAATTGTGTCCCCCACCCCAAATTCATATGTTGAAGCCCTAGCCTCCCAGTAGCTCGGAATGTGACTGTCTCTCTGTTGTTTAAGCCACCCAGACTCTGGTGGTTTGTTATGGTAGCCCTAGCAAACTAAGACAGCCCCTAAGAATGACACCTTTCGGAATTACTCATATAATGCCTTGGGGGACTAAAACTGCAATCTCCATTTTACTGGTGAAAGAGAAAAAGTTTCCATTTAAAACAATTTAAGCACAGAAAGAAAAATACTAGCAAACAACTGCTATGAAATTGAATTAAGAGACTCAGTAGGGAAATACGTGCCCCTTTAAAAATTATTAAGAAGAGTGAGTTATGATAAAGCACAAATCACCTTTAAATGAATATAACAGTCTTTCAGCTCGGACTCCCTGACGAGGGGTCCCTCCACTGGGCCAAACTGGGTGCGCTTGGGGATGCGCCTTTTGGAGAACACTCCTCCGAGGAACCTGTCGATGTAGAGGACCAGGGGGAGGCTCGCTCTCGCCCTCGTGAGCACAGGCCGGTTGGGGATGGGATGCAAGGGGCCATGCTTTGGGCACACTGAAGAATGTGCATTATTACACTCCTCACACCCTGCAAAAGAAGAAAATCTTGAAGTCAAATTCCTCAACAGGACTTAATCTCATGTAAAAAGTTCTAACCTGAAAAAATCCCCAAATCTAAGTTTTCAAGCCAAAATTCAATTAACTCTTACAATTACACTACCCATTCAATTGTAATATATTAGCTTTCATAGACCAATAAAATCCTATACTTTTCCTTTAAAAGCAAGCAGAATTAGTTTATGCCTGCCAAAAATAATATACAGGCTGTGACTTATTTCTCTACTGGATATTAATTTGAATAGTGGCCACTAAATTTACAAATCAATTATAACATGTCTGAAAAGAAAAAAGAAGAGCTTATTATGCTAAATATTGCAAAATCTGATGAGATAAAATAGGTGAATTTTTGGGGTGGGCCCGGTGGCACAGTGGTTAAGTTCACACACTCCACTTCAGCAGCCGGGGGTTCACAGGTTCGGATCCTGGGCGTGGACCTACGCACTGCTCATCAAGCCACGCTGTGGCGGCATTGCACATAAAGTAGAAGAAGATGGGCACAGATGTTAGCCCAGGGCCAATCTCCCTCAGCAAAAAGAGGAGGATTGACAACGGATGTTAGCTCAGGGCTAACCTTGGTCACAAAAAAAAAAAAAAAATAGATGAATTTTATAGTATGTAAATTATATCTCAATGAAGCTGTTTTAAAAAACCTGACACTACTGTTTAATCAGTTTCCTTAAAGGGAGTTACAGAAGCCTCATTGTCTGGGCATGTCTAACTCAAAGAGAAAAAGTGCTATACAGTTTGAGATTTCAATCCATATTGTGTGAAGATAACGCTAAAACGAATGAATTTAGCATCCCATCCTTCATTCACTAGGATGACACAATTAGCCCAGCCCTGATAGGACATATATTTTAGCTCGTTCTAGGAGTGATCAGTTTGCACTAACCGTCCACACTCACCCCAGTAGCACCCATCTGTAACCACCTGACAGAATTAGATGGATATAGCCACAAAACAGAGAAAAGGGACAGGACCACACAGAGATCATACGCATGACCCTTAACAAATTTAATTAACCAATCACATTTTATCCCACTCTGGCTGTGTGATGACCTGACTTAGGAAATAGGTATTTCAATTCCTACAATTCTCAAGTAATGGAGTTCTACTTTGTAATTATATTTATAAGATAAAGTGACTTTATGTGTATTCGACTAAGGAGTTGCCTTGAAAACTCTGAATTCAAGGAAAAACAAAATGTGGAAGTTCTCTATTGAATACAGAGCTAAACACTGGCCCCATGCAAATAGGCTTTACCACCACCACCCAGAAGGTCCCAGGAGAAATTCAGTGAGACCGCAAAGCTCTGAATAGCCTCGGTAACTCAAATAAATGAGATAAGAACTTTGCCACATAAACATGAAAATCGCTGGAGAGAAGCAATGATTCGGTAGACGGAGGCAGGACCCCCCAATCCCAAACAGGCAGTACAGAGAGCCAGTAAGTGCTGTGGTTAACCGTGGACACACTGGAGCCAGACCACCTGAGTTTGAATCCTGACTCTTGCAACAACGGAGCACGACCTTGGGAAAGCTACCTACCTCATAAGACTGTGGAGAGCATTAAACGAGTTAGAAAATGTAAAGCACTAGTGCCTGGAATATAGTAGGCATTTTTAAAAGGTTATTATGAAGAGAGGTAAAGCAGCAGAGCAAATTTGTTCAAGCTGACTCGGCTGAATAGTCTAGGACTGGACAAACTTCCCTCAGTGGTTTGGTAACTCAAGCTCTGGTGGCAGAGACTCGGGCTCGATGCCTGACCCACCACTCACCCCAGTGACACTGAGCAGGTTGCCCCGCTTCTGAGCTGCCACTCGCTCGCCAGTCACGTCAGAACTAAGGACAGCATGAGTGCCTCCCCGACAGGCTGCTGTGAGGACGGAGCGAGATGCCGCACGCAGAGCAGGGAGCAGCGTCTGCACACAGGACGCCCTCAGCAAACGTTACCCACGTTCCCGTGTGCACACACTCACGAGAAACAGCTCGTACTCACACAAGTCGTGAGGGTCAAAGGGCCGAGGTGGATCTGGTTCCCAGTCATCCAGGTCTGTGTCTTCACCATCTTCTTCCTCATCTTCCTCGGTATCCTCATCCTCATCCTCATCCTCTTCCTCTTTGGCCTCCAGTCTACCCATAGGGTTCTGCAGAGTTGCCAAAGGGTCTGACCCATCCACACTCTCAATTGAAGGTAACACCTGGTTATGCACTGGTAATGAGGCCTGGACAAAGTTTAATCAGAAAGTCAGCACACGTTGACTTCTAGTTAGCTGGTACACATGCACACACACAAAATGCAAGGTTTTGGTGGCAAACATTCTTCACACTAGCTCCTTTCAAGGCCCTGGGGAAATGATTTCCCTCTAGAGGCTGTAATGAGGAGTCTGACTTCATTTTTGCTCTTTCTGCCCTACATCTAGGAAGCTGATACAAAAGCCTGGGTGCTCCCTCCTTTGGCCCAGGCAGGAGTTTCAAACCCCGCGTGCCCGACCGCACGCCTGGGAACCCTCGCGCTGACCCCATCCCGTAACCTCAATAAAAGCCCGAGATTCTCCTTTCCTTGCTCTCTCAAGCTATTCAAACCTGCTTGAGAGGCCTGCCCTGTCTCCCCAGAGACTGCAAACATGTACGTAATAAGCCTTTTCACAACCTCTTGGTGCATGTGTGGTGTCTCTTGCAAATAAGACAAGGTTGGGTCACATATTGGGTTAATGCTACCTTTCTAAATATAGTGGCAGAAAATAAACGGTACCTTAAAAAGTTCTCTCACCTCCTAAATAAGTATCACGGAGTTACATACTACCCCAGATTCCTTTCACCCAATCTTAATTCTCTTGCCCAGTTAGCACCATAAGACATACTCCAGCCATGTTCCCTCCCTCCCCTTACTATTCAATACATAAAGCAAGGTTTTTAAATGCCTGCTCTTTTTCTTTATCTTTGCCTATGTTGTTATCCTTGCCTAGAATGCTCTTCCCTCACCAATCTTCTAAACCCTCTCACGTTCCAGTTTCTCCATGAACCGTCTCTGACTGCTCCAGCCTCCCTGACTCTCCTCTGTTCTGATCCCCACAGCAGGAAACTGCGCTCTACAACATCACTCAGCCTCTGCGTCAACGCTTCATCACCGCACAAGACAGCCCGAATCATTCCCCAAGAGCTCAGCAGCGGTTTCTGTGAAGTCAAGATCTCCCTGTACGTAATTCCGTGCATTGGTCAGGACCTACGACCTTCCTCTCGAGTGACACAAAGTAAGTGTAACCCTTCCGCCACATGAAGACAGTGCTTCAAATATTTCAAAACCAAAAGCCCCTAATTCATGCCATCGTTTTTCACATGGCCAATCTCCCAGATCCCTCATCATCCTGTTGTCTTCATTTATTCCTCAGTGGATCCCACATTTTTTATGAATCTAGCTTCAGATTGCACTAGCATTTACGATAGCCACTGTTCTATGCTGACCCATTTTGAACTTGCAAATAACTAAAATCCCTGGTTCTTTTTTCCTCTCATAGAGTGCTATCAAACCATTTTTCCCTTCTTCAGGACTTAAATAGCTGATTTTACTTAAATGGGGGATTTTGTACTTATCTCCATAAATATCATTTTATTACTTTCTCCGTTCTTCCAGTCTGCCAAGATCTTTCGGAATCTTGACTCTGACATCTCACCCGTTACCTGTCCCTCCCAGCTCTGTATCCATCGACAAACACCATCGACTTTTCAGTGAGTATGCATTTTCATGTGAGTCCATCTTGCCTCTCCAACTGCATCTCAGAGAAGTAGACCGTGGGCTTTGGAGTCAGACAGATTTGGATTAAAATCCTCGCCCCACAACTTAGCAAGTTAATATACTCCTCTGAACCTCAGTTTCTTTATCTGTAAAATGGACATAGTAATACACACCTCATAGGTTGTTGTGAGGATTAAACAAAACAACGTACATGAGGCCAGTAGTAGAGTGTGTGGCATTTAGTAAGTGCTTGGTATTAATAATAATAGATTACTATTATCACAAGTCCTTTAAGGACCGATATGACATCACATACTTCCTCTACAACCTTAAAAGACTGCTGAGCATGTGATAGGTATTCAGTGAGGACTAGTTTGTGAAAATATTTGGCCCTTTGGGAAATGACATCAATCCCTTTAGGCTTCTAAAGGCACTCTGCTGCTATTCACAGAAACATCCTTTTTCAATTGTGCATCTAAGTCTAAGAACTACTTAAACTCTCTAAAGAAACAGTATTGTCTGTATTTACAGAGCCTGACTGCTACAGCAGTGTAAGATCATTGCCCAATACTTGAAACACTCAGGTTCCAGAAAGCAGATCAAATCAGTTCCCTCAAATAGCATATGCGTGTTTTCACATGCATTCATGTAACCCAGGAGTCCAGACTTTGACATGGCACTCCACCTCTGGAGCTGAGGGCCTTGTAGAAGCTTTATACGGGAGGACGACATTCTGGGAGATGCCTCTGCTTCAGCTCCAATAAAAGCAGAATAAGATGCCCACGGAGGTGAGGACTCAACAGGAAAAGAGCAGGGGGTTTCTGGCAATGACACTGCATTTGCCACCTCCCCTCTGCATCCTCACCTGATCCTGCAATGAAGTTACTTTGTTTCCACTTGCTCTCAAGAGTGCAGTTTCAATATCACCCTTTACTCTAAGCCACTTATATTTTATGCCAGCATTAGTGATGAATGTTATCACACATTGAACAAACCAAAGCATATATCCACCTCTACTCCTCATAAATTCCTTATCTCTTTGCAGAGCCAACCTAAAAGAATAAATTTGGCAATTGAGAGTTATTCCAGCAAAGCTGTGATGTATTTTTTCCCAACAGATGCTGCTAGAAAGACTGGTTAGGCAAGGTTACCGCTGGCTTCTCGCCACTGCTGAGGAAGCTGACATTAAAACAGTACCAATAACCTTCTCCTTCCTCGCACTGGAACCCTCCTAAAAGAATACGGCAAAGACAAGACTTGACCCCTTCAGCATTATCTTGAAGGACTGATGCTAAAGCAGAGGTTGAACGCATACCAGAATCAGGCAGACTACTGTTGAAAACGGAGGAAAAGAAATCATGATAATCTTTTCTAGGTGAGAACTGTATATTTATGGACAGCAGAGACCTCAACACACAGTAGGCATGCATTAGAAATTTGTTTAAGTAACAATTCAAATTCAACTGACATGTACTGAGAGCTAGGCATGTATTTAAATTTCTTCGAGGCCAGAATTTAAGTGGCACAACTTAAACTCCCCTCAGTGGCATTGATGAATTCAGATTCTGACTCTGCCCTGCCTTTTCCACTACGTCACAAGGGCCCCTACGGAGTTAAGTCCATTCAAGGAGAACAGCAGAGAAGGTAAACATCACACACACCTTGAATACCAGAGCGACAAGGTAACCACACCTGCTCAGGAGGCAACAGCCAGGTAGTAAGGTGGTGAGCAATGTGTGCCAATTTTACTTAAAGGAAAAGAGTGAGAAACAGAAATATTTTAATCCTATGGATTTAGTCATGCACAATAAAACATGGTAAGAGGAAAAAGAATTTGTTAAACCCATGAAACCCTTTCTCCTTCCCACTCAATATCACTCTCTGTAATTATTTCTGAAACTACATAATGCATTTCAGGATACAATTTATCTGAGATGTAAAATACGAAACTACACTGGACAGCAGCAAACACAACAGAATGCTTCTGGATTCCTACTGAGACCAATTATCAGTGCAGCATATTCCCTTCTCAGTGTGTGGGGAGCCACACATGTTCATTTTCAGAAACAAGGAGACTGAGCTTCTAGGTCTGGAGATTATCGGTGCCTATCTTAAGGACAATGGAATACATATATGAAAAAGGCTTCAAATGGATTTTGCCATCACTAAAAACAATTGCAAATAGGAATCTGTTTGCTAAGAAAAAAAAAATGTATCTATCATCTGTGTTAAATCCTCACTTCAACTTTCTCTCCAGAATTTATCCAGGTCACAGAATAAACTGATTATCACTGAGGTGTTACAGCCAGAAATAAAAACCGTGCTGGTTGAAAGGAAAATGCAAAAGAGAAAGATGCTAAAAGCCAATAGTTATACTGCCTCATAATTCCAGGGTTCATAGAGCTTTCTGAGAACAACTCTCCTTTTGTACAAAACATGAAACAAGTAGATTGTTTCTGGAGATTGGAGAAGATGAAGGGCGCTTTGAGGTGCAAATGGCAACAAAACTTCTAATTAAAACCATGCCTTAATATTAAAACAACAAAATACCATTTTGCCTATCAGATTGGCAAAATCTTAAAAGAATGCAAATACCCAGTGTGGCAAGGGTGTGTGGAAATGGGCATTCTCATATAATGTAAATTTTTTCAGCATCTGAAAAGAAATTTAGAAAATCTTATGAAAATAACTGTCTATTTATAATGACAAATTTCAAACATATATCAAATAAAAAGAAGAGTTTAATAACCTCACATACCCATCATTCAGATTCAACAATTATCAACACATGGCTAACCTTATTTCAACTCTTCTCCTACCCACTTTCCCCCTCACTAGATTATTTTGAAGCAAACCTCAGTAAATATCTACTACTGTAAATACTTCAGTAGGTATCTCTAAAAGAAAAGGACTTCTGTATTTTATATATTATCATACCTAAAAAATTAATCATTCCTTAATATCATCAAATATCCAGTTAGTGTTAGGATTTCCCCAATTTCTCATAAATTTTTTTACAGTTGGTTTGTTCAAATCAGGACCCAACAAGGTCCACATATTGCATCCGACTGATATGTCTCTGAAGTCTCCTTTAATCTGTAAAAATTCCCATTCCTCTTCTTTGTCTCCACATTTTATATGTGGAAGAAACTAGACCATGTGTCCTACAGAGTTTCCCACAGTCAAGATTTTGCTGACTGCATCCTGTGTGTGTTTTAACTTGTTCCATTTTGTCTACCATGATTCCTATAAGCTGGTAGTGGAATCTACAGACTCGATCAGATTCAGGTTCAATTTTGGAGGAGGAATACTTCATCATGTGGTAAAATGCCATAGGAGGTACACAATACCGGGAAGCCTATAATGAATGGTTCTCTCTTTTTAGTAATATTAACAATATTCAGAGGGTTAAGTCGATCCATCCATTAGAAAGTGCCTCATCAGCTTTTTCCTGATGGTTTCAGACTACTGTTAATAATCATTGCCTAG